CATCTCCTGCAGAATCTTTACCTTTGCGCCCCCTGGGGAGCCCATGGTGGGAGCAGTGCTGCGATTCTTTGTAGTGGACAGAACATAGCTCAAGAAATCTGCACCAGTCTGATCTCCCGTGTGCAGTTGTCCTCATGACTTGAGCTTGAAAACACCAAGAACAACATTCCTCGGTGACACAGTCCAACGACGAGACTCTTCCAGTTTTATTGTTCTTTGCTTTTTTCTTGAAAGAGGCCTTGTCAAATCAGAATGAAAAGAATGTTTTAAGGCGTGAGAAGATTAGAATTTCCTATTTAAAGCCTAGAGTTCATTAGCAGGAGTATATTTACTTATTTTAAGGGTCGCTGGGTCACACGGAAGAGCCTGCCTCTCTGCCACCCAAGTCCCGAATCATTCACCTGAAACGGTTGAGAAACACTCTCAAGTCTATTACTTTCCATGAGGCCTGATTCCTCTTTGCTCTGCTTTGTCTTGTGACCCTGCCAAGTGGAGGGTCCTGTAGGATTTCGTACTATCCCTTTTTCACTTGATCATTTTTTCAGTTAAATAATTGTCTAAGCTTAACTGCTTGCAATGACTAAAATTTTGCTTATATTACACTGCAGTTTTCTTTTACCAGTGATACTTAGTTAACTACTTTATTATTTATTACCTAATATAGAAAAAATTTTAGAAGAAATATTCTTATTAATTGGACTTTTTTATTGAACTATTTTTATTATAAATATAGTAAGGCTAAAATCTAAATTTTGCCAAATAAGAGAAGTCTATTCTTAACAGTACAGAGTTTGACTAGAAACAAAGAGATTTTATAATATTACAATACTGAGAGGTAGAATGTAATGAGTGCAGTCTTCCAAGCCTATTAAACCTCAGTTTGGATTCACCATCAGACATATCAAGTCCTGGGACTTTTCTGAACTTGAATTATCTCATCTTTAAAATGAAAATATTAGTATCAACCATACACAGATTGTTTGAAGATTATAGATGATACAAAAAGCACAATATTTGATTTGTTAGGTATTACTTGTTTTAACTATGTCATCTAGAGAGAGCTAATTGTGTTTCAGTTTCCTTGAAAAAACAGAAGGGTGAACTAGATAATTTCTACCTTTTCTGTCAAAACTTATAAGTAAATCAATTACTTACAATCTCTGTTGGTTCTCCGAATAACTTTACATCAGTTAGAGTTTTTTCATGTTAAGATTTTCCAGGTGGGTAAAGAGGACATTAGTTGAAATTTAGACAGTAACATGAGGACAAGTTGACAAAAACAAAATGGTTAACAGGAAGTGTTTCAAAATGGAAATACTTCAGAGCAAAAGTAATCACATGGTTCATGGTTAAATAATCTGTTTAAAGAACTTGTACTATGATTCCTATCAGATTTAATGAGTGGTCTTAGAAAAATCACTGAAAAATTTTAATTGACGCACTTAATCTCAACTTAATCAACCTATAGCGATGAGTATACCCGCTATCTACCTAATTAGAATTTCCATGGGGAAAAGGGAACTAAATCCACTAACTAGAATCATTTTTTTACTTGTAAGTTATTTCTGTGTACAACAGAAGTGTTATTAATCTTGCCAGAAATCAATTTTCTAAAATGACCCCAAAGTTTTCTCTCTCATCAACAGTAGCAGGTTTTATTTTTTTAATTTGTTTTTACTTTGATACAGTTATACTAAACTTTCTAAATATATTTTACAAAACAACTTCAGTAAGCCATAAACCATGTTTAATAATTCAAACCATAAAGACGGCAACACAAAATTTGAAACCAGAGAACATATACTTCTTCATTCACAAAAGGATCGAAGAGAGGTGGACACCCTTTCTCCTGTTTGTGAGCAAGGGGTCAAGAGACCTGAGCAAAAGAATTTCAAAACTAAGTGCTTATACAGATCTCTCCTTATCTGAAATCTGTCCTCCAAATTTGGAGTAAATAAACTTTATATGAAAATCAGTATGAGGGTTGGGGTTAGCTAGATATGGCTAACTTGGCTCCAACTAATATTTTTTTTCTATGAGAAAACAGCTCATCGTGAAACATCTTATGAAAAGAAACAATAGCAATAATAAAGTATTAATAGCAGCACTTATATCTATCTTTCTTTGAGTCTTTAATAATAAGCTCTATGACTCAAGACTTTACCTACATTATGCCTTGTCTGGAAGTACATTTTTTTTTTTTTGTATTAAATTGAGAAAGTATGTATAGAAACATAATTTGGATTATTTGAAATTTCATGTAATAGCTTGAGTTCATTTTATAGTGGCCTATTTGCTCTATTAAAATTCTATACTCTCTAAAATAAGAAATCAACGGCTTTTTTTAACAACTAAAAATACCAAAGCTTGAAAGGAGCCCTATTTTACTCCAAGCATTGAGTATGACATTTTACAAAATTTCTAATTCTACTGGGTTGGCCAACAAGTTCATTCAGGTTTTTCCATGCAATGTTTCTGTAACAAACTTTTTGGTCAATCCAATAATTTAAGGTCCTCAACACACACACCATAAAAATTTCTTCAAAAAAAAAAAAAATTTCTTCAAGGTCAATTTTCGCCAGTTACCTCCAAGGCAGTCTTAAGGATTTTTGCCACTGCTCTTGCAACTCATTCTATTCTCTTCCCAACTACATTTTCTCAAAAGTATGAAGCCCTGTTCCAGATGAGAAAGGAACAAAATGAACATACTGACCATCTTCTCTTATTCCAGAATACTAACCATCAGAATCAGTCTTAAGGAAGCAAGAAAGCAAAGCTTACAACTTCCTCCTTGTGAAGATACTTCACGCATTTATTGATATTTCTACTTTTATTTATTAATCTTATATGAGTTGGGAAACTGAGTTAAGTAGGAAATAGCAAGGAATTAAAGCTACAGAGAAACTCTCGAAGTCTTCTTAAACCTATTCTCCTTCCCCATAGGAAGTTATAAGATTAATTTAAAGTCTTATTTTCTATCCTAAGAAGGAGATTAATCTAGCATGCCAGAACAAGGGAGAAAAGAAATGATCTAGAACATTTTAAAGTGCTCACTGTATTTAGGATCTCAGAAGGACTCAAGATTCTGGGAGGGTTTGCCTAAAGAGGCATACTTCAGAGGCTAGGTATCTTACTAAGAAGTAACAAAAGGAAAAACAAACAACAATTAGAAGCGGGAGAGTGATTGTGGCATCATGTCCAAGAACAGTAACAAACACCCTGCCTCTGCCCCCGAAGCGCTACCAAATCAAGTAGAAAGTGGTAGAATTCCAACGAAGTACTGGAAATGAATAAAGGAAAGTGAATCTCTAGTCTAAGGTAAAAGAGGAGAAACGAGAGGACTTCAGCATGAGAAATCTCCACTTGGTGGGCCATACCAGGAGCTATTGCTCAAAATGATGAACCTGTATTGAGTCCATCCTCAGAGAAGTTAGTGAAAAGTAAGCCAACTATACACATGCGTGAAATGTGCATGAATTTTAAGAACCATGGCTCCACCGAGAATCCCACTTCAGTCTAACGGGAGGAAGTAGGAAGCAATCCCACCACTGGGCACAATATTAAAAGCCTCAAAGTGACTTTGATTTTACTACCTCTTTAGGCTTGAGGATGAGCTTAAAAGCAGGTCTCTCTTCGACAGACAAGAACTCAATGAACAGGCACCATGACATAGAGAAAGCTCTAAAACTAAACACAAGGGAAACCTAAATCAATTTCAACTTGCTCCAGGCTTCAGTGAGGCTGCATTTTGCTTTTGCCCAGAACCCTCAGCAGACCAGGTCTCAGAGCCTTAGCATCACCTCCTGCCTCAGCCTGCCTGGTACCGTGTCTTCCAGGAGATTTCCTTTTCCTAGACCTCGAGAGGGTCTGGCAGAAACAGCTTAGAAAACAGCTGAAGCAGCGTGGCGGCGGTGCCAAGGATGTCCCTGCAGGGGAGGAGGACCCGAGCTCTGGGGACCCTGAGAGCTCGCGGGGCTGGATCCGACATCCCGATGCGTTAGACAGGCGCCTTCATCCTTCCGACTCTGTAATCCATCCTGCAAGCAGAAGAAAAAGGTTAAAAGCCGTCAGTGCGAACACACATCTACAGAGAGGACTTGCCCTTCTCGGCCACTTCTTTCATACTCCATCTGGCCCAAGGATCCCAGCTTGTTTCTCAAGCCCCGCATCCCCCCTCTGCCCACTCCAGATGAAGAGGTGTCATTCTTTTCCCTTCTGGAGTAAGCCGGGACCCCGTGGAAACTGCGTGGTGAAGTTGGCAGAGGCACCGTCAGCCTGGATCACGGAATGGCTTGCGGGACCCCTGTCCTCTTCCTTCAGTCTCCATCCTGGAACCGTAAGAACTGATGTTTGGGAAAGAAGCACATTGGTAGAGTGTCGAGCCATTATACTCTTGGCTATACGTTTGTTGTGCATGTGTGTCGAGCACAGAATTCTGCAGCCCCGCGCCTCATCCCTGCCTCGTTGGGAAGGTCAGGCTGACGTTCCTTGGCACTGAGCAGGCTCAGCTTTTTACCTACCACCTCACCGTCTTCACTCGTGGTGGCACAAACGGTGCTGGAAGAACGCCGGGCGGTGGGTCTCCACTTTCTCCTTCCTCTGGCTTTCTCATCTCCTGGTCCTCGCAGCCTTCCTCAGATGTCTGCGCATTTTTGGAGCTGGATCTAGCCTTCTTTTCTGGGCTGGAAGCACGGCAAGCTCTTGTGTAATGTCACCCACAGGAGGCTCAGACGTCCCCTTCAAAGGCTCTGAAGATGATTCTAAACTTTTCTTCAGAGACTCATTCTCCCGCGGGTGGAATCTGTCCTCTGTATCATGAGTGTCTGGTGATATCTTCAAGTCATCAGCAACATGGTTTGGAATGCAGAGTGAAGATTCCCAACCTCTCTCACTGAGGGTTGTTTCTTTCTTTTTTTTTGACCCACTCTGCTGGCCCCAGCCACCTTTGCAGAAACAAGGAGCTTAAAACAAAAGGACCAAATGTCAAACGCTAACGGAAGTAGTCCCCTCACCCCAGTGATTTACCCTCCGTTATCACAGACAAACGGCAGCACTGGTCTCAGATTCCCCGTGGATTTGTCTGAAGGAGTTTGAGGGCCTTTGGAAATAGAGTTCTCAGGTTGCTCTTCTTGGCCTGGAAGTTCTCAGCTTCCCTAAAAGGAGAGATAAAGTCACTGAAATAAGTGTTCCATGAACAGTGGAGTTCCTCCTGGTCACACAAAATCTATGGTTTAATAAGACTTAGCCACACCTAGAATAATTTCCTCGGCAGAAACCTGCCACATTTCCAGAGCAATATTCTCCATGTATATCAGAATCACCTGGGGTATTTTTTGAAAAAACAGATTTCTGGGACATACCCCAGAGCTATCGTCAGAATCTCTAAAGCTGGGTTCTAGGAATTTTTATTTTTTTCCCTAGTAACTTAAGTGATTTTCATGCATTCTAAAATTAAAAACTATTACCTTAGAGGGATTCTGAATCCAGTATTCTATGGGGTTATAGAGATGAGTGCCCTTCAGAAACATCCCACTTTGCACTCTAGGTTTACCCTAATCATCTCAGCCCATCCTGTATAGTTCCTCTGTGTATTCTTGCCACCTCTTCTTAATATCTTCTGCTTCTGTTAGGTCCATACTGTTTCTGTCCATTATTGTGCCCATCCTTGCAAGAAATGTCCCCTTGATATCTCTACTTTTCTTGAAGAGATCTCTAATCTGTCCCATGCTATTGTTTTGCTCTATTTCTTTGCATTCATCAGTGAGGAATGCTTTCTTATCTCTCTTTGCTATTCTTTGGAGATCTGCATTCAAATGGGTATATCTTTCCTTTTCTTCTTTGCCTTTAGCTTCTCTCTTTTTCACAGCTATTTTTAAGGTCCCCTCAGACAGCCATTTTGCCTTTTTGCATTTCTTTTTCTTGGGGATGGTCTTGATCACTGCCTCCTGTATAATTTCACGAACCTAACCTCCATCCATAGTTCTTCAGGCATTCTGTCTATCAGATCTAATCCCTTGAATCTATTTGTCACTTCCATTGTATAATTGCAATGGATTTGATTTAGGTCATATCTGAATGGTCTAGTGGTTTTCCCTACTTTCTTCAATTTAAGTCTGAATTTGGCAATAAGGAGTTCATGATCTGAGCCACAGTCAGCTCCTGGTCTTGTTTTTGCTGACTGTATAGAGCTTCTCCATCTTTGGCTGCAAAGAATATAATCAATCTGATTTCGGTGTTGACCATCTGGTGATGTCCATGTGTAGAGTCTTCTCTTGTGTTGTTGGAAGAGGGTGTTTGCTATGACCAGTGCGTTCTCTTGGCAAAACTCTATTAGCCTTTGCCCTGCTTCATTCTGTACTCCAAGGCCAAATTTGCCTGTTACTCCAGGTGTTTCTTGACTTCCTACTTTTGCATTCCAGTCCCCTATAATGAAAAGGACATCTTTTTTGGGTGTTAGTTCTAAAAGGTCTTGTAGGTCTTCATAGAACCGTTCAACTTCAGCTTCTTCAGCATTACTGGTAGGGGCATAGGCTTGGATTACCATGATATTGAATGGTTTGCCTTGGAAATGAACAGAGATCATTCTGTCATTTTTGAGATTGCATCCAAGTACTGCATTTCGGACTCTTTTGTTGACTATGATGGCTACTCCATTTCTTCTAAGGGATTCCTGCCCACAGTAGTAGATATAATGGTCATCTGAGTTAAATTCACCCATTCCAGTCCATTTTAGTTCGCTGATTCCTAGAATGTCGATGTTCACTCTTGCCATCTCCTGTTTGACCACTTCCAATTTGCCTTGATTCATGGACCTGACATTCCAGGTTCCCATGCAATATTCCTCCTTCCAGCAATGCAGTTTACTTCCATCACCAGTCACATCCACAACTGGCTGTTGTTTTTGCTTTGGCTCCATCTCTTCATTCTTTTTGGAGTTATTTCTCCACTCTTCTGCAGTAGCATACTGGGCACCTACCGACCTGGGGAGTTCCTCTTTCAGTGTCCTATCTTTTTGCCTTTTCATGCAGTCCATGGGGTTCTCAAGGCAAGAATACTGAAGTGGTTCGCCATTCCCTTCTCCAGTGGACCACGTTTTGTCAGAACTGTCCACCAGGACCCTTATTTGATTCAGGTAACATTCTGTACCTACAAAGTCCATCCCATGGGATTATAATAACCTGTTTAGAGATCTGTTTCCTTCACGAGGCCCGGCACTCCCTGAGGGCAGAAGTCCTGCTTGTCACTTCATCCCGAGTGTCTCCGTGGTTCTTGGCATCTGGAGGGTGTCCAGTGTCTGTGGACTTCAAAATGCAGGTCTTTACAGGCTGCCCTCCAAACCCTGGGCTCTATGTTTGATTCTCCCCTCTCTTTGAATGAACAGACTGAAATTTGGGGGACCAAACTTAACAGTGCTGGCCAGGGCTCGACTACAAATCCAGCTACCATTCCAGAGCTTGTGATGTCAGTAGCTGGTTTCACTCAGGAAAAAAAAAAAAGCGGGGAGGGGAGCTTCGTGGTGGTGGTGAGCATCATTTGGTGCGATTCTGTACGAGCAGCGTCTCCCACCCGCTTCCCTACTGGAAACACAGGAACGCTACCCAGGGAGGCCCTCAGTTATCCAGGTTCCTGACTCCCTCAGGCCACTTCCCTCTCACCCCACCGCACTTTTCCAACTTCCTGATACAGTGTCAGCGCCCCCTGGCCATGCGCACCTCCCCACCCTGCCTCATGCACGGTCTGCTCCAAACTTCTGTCCTCCCCGGACTGCAGGGATTTGCCATGACACGTACCATGGGACGCATACCCCATTCCAGACCCTGACTCTCCCTGTGATGCCCCAATGTGAGGAACCCTCCACAAGGGTTGGGTGTGCTCATAGGCAGGGATGCTGTTCAATCCCAGAGGGCAAGTGCCTGACAAGACGCAAAAGAGATTTGTACCAGAAGAATGCCACTAAATCTGGAGTCCCTGATTACTCAGGATTTCACACACTGGAAATTATTTGGAAGTATAATATATATGAATTCACATGTCACAATATGAGCCCATTTGTCTCCATAAATCTATTGCACTTCAAAATTCTTTATGATTGATTTTTCCCCATTTTCACATATTACTGAAGCAAAGCTGAGAGTATTAAAGCCCTTGGGTGAATTTGCTGCCAAAGCAGACTCAAAGCCAACTTAGAAGTCTTAAAACAACAAACTCACGGCCACTGAACTTCTGCCTGGCCCTGCAGAAGAGACTAGGAAAAAAACCTCACTAATCATTATTGACAGTGAAGTGACTATTTCTCTAAAAAAATGGGAAGAAATGACTGGCATGAGCCAGCTTTGCTTCTCAGCGACTCTCCAGAGAATTAAACAACCGAAGCATCAGACCACACTTCTCTTTGAAGATAACCTTTCATATTCAATTAAAAGAGCTCATCTTAAAGGGAAAGAAAATGAATAATCTGTGAGGGCAACTACTCATTCCTGAGTATACAGTTACAAAAGGACTAAAATATGATAGTAAGCATTGCAGAATGCTGCATTACAATTTAAGTATATTTTCATTATCAAGGTAATGTTTACTGAGAGCCTACTATGAATCAGACATTGGCAAAGTTTCCCTCAGGCCACTTCCCTCTCACCCCACCGCACTTTTCCAACTTCCTGATACAGTGTCAGCGCCCCCTGGCCATGCGCACCTCCCCACCCGGCCTCATGCACGGTCTGCTCCAAACTTCTGTCCTCCCCGGACTACAGGGATTTGCCATGACACATACCATGGGACGCATACCCCATTCCAGACCCTGACTCTCCCTGTGATGCCCCAATGTGAGGAACCCTCCACAAGGGCTGGGTGTGCTCATAGGCAGGGATGCTGTTCAATCCCAGAGGGCAAGTGCCTGACAAGATGCAAAAGAGATTTGTACCACAAGAATGCCACTAAATCTGGAGTCCCTGATTACTCAGGATTTCACACACTGGAAATTATTTGGAAGTATAATATATATGAATTCACATGTCACAATATGAGCCCATTTGTCTCCATAAATCTATTGCACTTCAAAATTCTTTATGATTGATTTTTCCCCATTTTCACATATTACTGAAGCAAAGCTGAGAGTATTAAAGCCCTTGGGTGAATTTGCTGCCAAAGCAGACTCAAAGCCAACTTAGAAGTCTTAAAACAACAAACTCACGGCCACTGAACTTCTGCCTGGCCCTGCAGAAGAGACTAGGAAAAAAAACTCACTAATCATTATTGACAGTGAAGTGACTATTTCTCTAAAAAAATGGGAAGAAATGACTGGCATGAGCCAGCTTTGCTTTTCAGCGACTCTCCAGAGAATTAAACAACCGAAGCATCAGACCACACTTCTCTTTGAAGATAACCTTTCATATTAAATTAAAAGAGCTCATCTTAAAGGGAAAGAAAATGAATAATCTGTGAGGGCAACTACTCATTCCTGAGTATACAGTTACAAAAGGACTAAAATATGATAGTAAGCATTGCAGAATGCTGCATTACAATTTAAGTATATTTTCATTATCAAGGTAATGTTTACTGAGAGCCTACTATGAATCAGACATTGGCAAAGTTGCTCTTCAATATGCTTAACGAAAAGCATACACTGATCAACATAAACTGGTTGTTTTCTAACTTCAGCAGGCATGACAATCACATGGAGGGTTTTTAAAACAGATTACTGGGCCCTCTCCCCAGTGGTTCTGATTCAGCAGGACTGGATGAACAAATGAGAATATATAGTTCTAACAAGTTCCCAGGTGATGCTGGTGGTCTGGAGCCTGCACTTTGAGAACAACTGAATTAAATACTCTTAGGTATAAAAATGAGACAAAATGACTTGTAATAGCCTTTAAAAAATGGGGGTCATTCCTAACCACTTATTATGACCAAATGAAGATGTATAGACTCTGAAATGGTTATCTTCTGAGCTGAATCCTCCAGGCATGTTGCTTTCTCACCCACATTTTGAACTTTTGGAAGATATGGCCAGAAAGCACTATGCTTGAAGTGTGGATGATGTTGACACTGGGTTGCCAACAGGTCTTTTCTCCATGAGCACCTACAACTCTCTTTCTAGTTTCAGTCTCAGATTAGTTACAAGCTTAGAATGTGAACATCAAAGAAGCAAGCTATT